TTTTTTTTTTTTTTTTTTTTTTTTTAAATTTTTTTTTCAACATTTATTTATTTTTGGGACAGAGAGAGACAGAGCATGAACAGGGGAGGGGCAGAGAGAGAGGGAGACACAGAATCGGAAACAGGCTCCAGGCTCTGAGCCATCAGCCCAGAGCCTGACGCGGGGCTCGAACTCACGGACCGCGAGATCGTGACCTGGCTGAAGTCGGACGCTTAACCAACTGCGCCACCCAGGCGCCCCATAGACTACCTTGGTTTTAAGCAGACTGAGAGCCCTGTCCTGGGCCCTAGTTTCCTGACCATATAATGAGGATAAAGAAGGGGTCTCTACCCTGCAAAAATAAGGTGCTCTGTCTAGGGAGGACACACTACTGTACAGTTTTCTTCCTCCTCACTGGGAATGGTTCCAGCAAGCAGAAGTCCTCCTCTACCTGGGCTGCCAGCCATGGGTGCCATACTGTGCCACTGGCAGTGCGGTGGAGAGGGTACCTGGAGAAGGTGCAGCACCTGAGTGTGGGCAGAGAATGGGGCATACCAGTGGGTCCTGCCCTGGTGACTCCACTCCCCCATCCCCAACCTCAGGAAAACCAAATGAATAGAAGGCTCAAATAGTAGAACGAGCGATGCAAAAGATTGCTGGCTTGGGAAATTGAAAGTAAAAGCCCATGAGGCTAACCAAGAGTAAAAGAAAATAAAAAAATATGGTAATATAAAAGAAGATCAAATAAAATAAATATAAGCTGAGAAACCGTGAAAGTGAGATGAAAGAGGTTGGCAAGAAAGGGTAAGGAAGACAAAGTGGAGGTGGGCCATTTACATAGAACTGGAGAGCCAAAGGGGGAATAAGCGATAAATACAGGTTTTTGTTTTTTTGTTTTGTTTTGTTTTTGTTTTTGTTTTAAAGAAAAACCCAGTGGATTAAAAAGGGCAAGTGGTAGTGAAGTTTTCTGAGCTCAGAATCCTGGCAGAGGGTGGGTTTTCTGGAGCCCACGGGCCCAGCCTGGAACTCAGGCTGCAGGGCTCCAAGCCTGGCTCTTTCTAAGTTGCTGGCGGACCCCGCCTTAGGGAGATGACCTCAGGACTTGGGTTGGCCTCCTCCTAGTGTACTTGGGAGACCGTGTCTTCTCTGTCAAAGCCTGCAGAGAATCCCCCCAGGCCGGGCTTTGGTCTTTCTTGCCAGCAGCAACCTTCACATAGGGCCTGGGCTGAATTGTCTTAGAAGTTCTGGGTGGGCTCAATGCTGGGGAGGGAAGAGGAAGGCAGTTTTTCAGGGTACAGTATCATATCTCATTTGGGGGGCTCTCTGGGAGGAAACATGATTGGGGAGGGGCACCTCTGCAGGGGTTGGGCAGACAGGATTCCAGCTGGCCCTTCCGTAGCACAGTTATTGGCTGGGTTGAGAAAGGAGAGGTGTGCATTTCTGGAATGACAAAGCTTTAAGTTACAATGATCATGGCTTCCTAGCCAACCACCATGGCCTCTCACTTTGCCTTGAGGTTTGTCTGTAGCTTCAGCAGTAAACTACTGGCTTCTAGCAGCCTTCCACTTGAGATTCCTGAGGGGCAATTGATCTTTTTACGGCCTTCTTTATTTCCTTTTATGCAAAATGGGAGCACCACCTCACAGGTAAGTAGTGTACTGGGCACAATGCCCACCTGTGGTATATGCTAAATAAATGTAGTTACAATCAGTATAACTGAATATCTCTTTAGTAAAAGTAATCACCTGTATTGGCTGAACTCTGTGCAAAAGAAGGATTTATTGACTCACTTTTAATTTCTGTGAATATATCTTTGTGTAGCTAGGAGCAAATCAAGAAGACTGAGTCCTGGGTCTGCCAGCAACTGACCTGATGCGTTGGGTAAGTCACTCCTTTATCTGAGCTTCGGTTTTCCTTTCTGTGCAATGGGTAGGTAATATATGACCCAGAGTTTGCTAATCTATCTTCTTCAGCCAAGTTATTACAGTGGGGGTGATCTTGCTCATCAGGTAGAACCGCTTCACCAAGAGCCTGGTTTTGGGGAGGCAGCTTTGTGGTCTCAGGGGGTTATTAGGGCTTAAAGGGACTAGACTGGCTGGGATCAATAAGTAATTAAGGGTTTGATGAGCCCGATAAAGCCCCCAATAATAGCCAATGTCCTTGAAAGCTGGCAGTCCCAACCTCAGGTGGCAGAGAGGATTAACAGTCTTGCCTAGAGGTGGGTGTGCATAGGGAGGAGTGACCCTTGGGCCTGCCTCCCAGCTCCAGGAGAAATGTGACCTGTGCAGACTTCCCCTTGTGGCCAGGCAAGTGGAACCCAGGCCATTCCAGCCTGGCAGGGAAAGTCAGCCCGGCTGGGGAGTGGTAGGAGTATGAGCACTAGGAGATGAGCATCTGGGGATGGTGGAGGACCCCACTCTGTGGAAGGTAGAGGAGGAGAGGCTACCTAGGACAGGAGGGGAGGTTGCCCCAGGCCAACAGCTTCCCAGGGGGTTCCAACCCGAGTCACAACCCTCATGGCCCCAAACAGAGGGACCTCATCATCCAAACTAGAAACTGACAGAAGTCTCCTCAAAACTGTGTGTATTGATAGGTTGCTTTCTTAATATTTAGAAGGGAGGTCTTGAGGATTGTCCTGTTACAATCATGCTACCTCTACTTAGTGCTACTACATACATCAAGGAAACTTCTAACTGTGTTAGAAGTATCACATACTTTACTAACACACTGCAGAGGCCCAAACAAGTTGAGTTTGGGGATTTCTGACCCTGTGACTCTTGACCTCAGGTTTGAGCACCTACTGGACGACCACACCCACTATCTTTTCAAGGTGGACAGTCTCATAGGAACCAAATTGTTATATAATAAAGTCCATCCTTTATTTCTCTACTTTCTATAACTTTTTGGCCAGCAAATGGTGGAATTTTGAGAGAATAAGAATGGAGGCATGGGTGAGTGGGGGTTTGGAGAGGCTGGGTGGGGCATACTTTATAACTTAAGGCCCCAAAGATAGGTTTCTTGAGTAAGTGCATTTGTGTGGGCACCACACCCAGCCCCCAAGCCCAACCGCCTTCAGGCCTGGTCATTCCTCTCTTCTTGCCCATTGGCCCCTCATCCTGGAAGCTGTTTGCCTGCTGGTGTGGTTCCTTGCTATTTCTCTAACCCAGCTTTTACTCTCCACCAGGCTGCCCCCACTAGGCTGAGTCAGCCCCAGCAGCCACTGCAAGGGCTGCCTCATTGCTCTCCAAGCTTGTACTTGGCCCTCTCTGCACAGCCACCTCCCCCACCTTTCCAAAGTAACATTTGTCAATGACTCCTCCGTGGTTGGCAGCTTGAGAGACACACACCCATGCGCGTGCACACACACACACACACACACACACACACCCTTCTTTAT